CTTTGGCTTGGAGGAGGGCGGGGGGGCTACAGTGGACAGAAGTGGTTGCAGTGGGGTGTGGCTCCCCTTCTGATGAAGAACTGGCAACCACCCCGAGCCCAGAATGACACCCCTCTTCATTGAGTTTCTTAAAAAACAACCAAAAATGTACAGCAGTGGCTGTGCCACGGGCAGCACCAGTTTGGGCATTCCAACAACCAGTTTACCCAGAGTGGTGCCTGGGCCCTGCTTGTCCCTTCGACAAGGTTCTGGGCCTAAGAGTGAGGGGCAGGTCCCTGTCCAAGGGAGCACCGGAGATGGAGTATTCAGACCAGCCTCCCCACTCCCTTGAGCTGCCTAGGCAGCTAAGGACGCAGCTCTGAGAGGGGCTGTGTGGTTTGTGAGTATCCCGGATTCTGAGGAAGAGTGTGCTAAGCCTTCCTTACACTCTATCTCCAGGAGCAACTACGATCGCAGTCCAGCTGCAACCAAACACGCATGTCTTCCCACCATGGCTGGCTGCTTTCTGCCTGCCCTTGATGCCTCCCGGCGTTGCAGAAGAGCGGGTAGCAAAGGGAAAGGGAGCGGCTCCGAGTACCCTCTAAACCCCTGAAGATGAAATGGGAATGAAGGCATGTCACAAACTCAGCATGCAGGACTGGCTTCCCGGGAGGTAGATGGGAGGAGGAAGGGATGGGAGAAGCTGTAGAGAGGACAGGAAGGGACACAGGAAGAAACTGGATGACACCTACCAAGAAGGTCAAGAAGCAATGAAAAGGACAAGGACAATATGGAATCTGCATGTAAAGAAAGGTGTTTTTCTGGCAGATCAGAGAATCAACAGTTTAAACACAACTCATCACTCTATTTTTCTAACTGCAGTACCTGAGTCCCCAGTGCCCGACTCTGATCCCACCCCCATCTCACTGCTCCCGAGACGTCACCCTCCATTTTCTCAAGGCCTCCGTCGTCGTGTGCTGAGCACGAAGGCTCCAGTGTCAAAACGAGATACATCGCAGGGACTTACAGACTTGACCTTCGTGGCCTGATATCCTATAGCTACCATAGTGTAGGTGGGGGCACACTTTCTTTTTTCTTTTTTTTTTTCTTTTTCTTTTTTAATAAAAAAGGTTTTACTCCCCAGGAGCAAATAAATCATTTTGAACTACTGATAAACACTGCTGCAGTGAAAAGAAAGATGGCTACACGTATGCAATAGCACAAATTCAGTGTAAGAACAGCTGTGTTGACGATTAGAGATAAAAATCACTTATCCATTCCCCGCTTTCCCGCAAACCAAACCAAGAGGATTCCCATAGGGAAAATGTCTAACTCAAAAGCTCCTCCCTTGCGGACAGGGGGCATGTCATTCTCTTACAAGTGAAAAACAAATGCAGGGTCTCCCCCCAGTGGAGATGCTCTCAACATCCCAACTGGTAGCAAGACTTCCACAAATGAAGACACACACACGCACACACACACTCACGCGTGCACACACACAGACTTTCAGATCTCCTCCCAGCAGCCACAGAGCTACATCCCAGGGCCTCTGCCGCTAACTTCAGGGCTCCACAGCTAAGGCAGAGGCAGCAGGGAAGGGAAGGAGCCAACCTAAGGAAAACATACCTCCTTCTCTCCACTTTCTGCTGGGACCAGAGGGAGCAAGCCACGCTCTGCTGGGGGCCCAGAGGTGAGGGCTGACAAGGCCAGCACCCCAGGGCACTCACTTCTGGTTCTACTCTGGTCTCTCACCCTGGGTTGGGAACTCTAACCACCCCCTGCTCCCCAGTTCTCCCTGGATGTGTTACAGGGACATTTGCAGCTATCTCCTCATCATTCCCAACCTCAAGAAGGGGCTTACGTGATCAGCCCAAGTGAGAAGCAGGAAAGCAGGAAGGTGCAGGCATCATGGAGGCAGGCTCCCCTGGGCCGAGCCTCTCTTCCACGTGCCTCCACAGCTCCTGTTCCAGGGTGTCACATTCACTTTATCTGGGCACAGGCAGACGACCAGGCCCAGGTCATCACCAATGGTCCCAAACTCCTTTAAGAGCCAGCTGTCACCCACTTATCCAGTCCCCCACACCAAAGCCCCTGCCCTCCTACTCCTGTGCTCCCAACACAGCACACGCATTTCAAGTAACAGCAAGTTGTAGCAGTAGTTATCACTAGCTCACATTGGTTCACACCCAACCTGAGGAAGGTTACAGTAGATCAGTCATAAACAAGTGATGGCTACACATGCAGGGCCTGGGGCTATTGACATCACCACCCACAACCTAGAAATCAACTGTGGGTCCCTAGAAATGAGAGCCTTTTCCAGTTTGTGACTGTAAAATACAACGAGCAGAAAGGCATGCATTCCCTCTGCAGACTGCACAGCACTGGCAAATGAGGGGTGGGCTCGGCCAGGGGAGGGGAGGGCAAGTGCTGACCACTGGCCCTGCTGCTCCTGCTCCCTCTCTAGCCAGGCTGTACCTGGGCAACGGCCGAGTCCCACCTCTCCCCTTCACCTAACTTGTTCTATGCAAGGCCATCCACGCAGGCACCAAACACCCATGCCTGACAGTTTGTCTCCTCTTGTGCTACTCTGTTTTGCGACCCACTCTAAGGGACTTCAGCACAGACAGATCACAGACAAACACTACCCTCCCCAGGAGGAGAACGGTGGGTGGTGAGGTTGGGTCCTGCCTCCTCAGCCGGTTTGGTTTTGTACCTGAGTGTACGAGTTCTCCAGCAGAAAGCCCAGTCCCTCAGGGGTGCAGGGCTCTGCCTCCCTCACACGGCCTGAGCTGACAATAGGGAGGCCCCTGGCGATGGGCAGGAGCCCTGATGACTCCTGACTTTGGGCTCCACCTCAGCATCCAGACCAGTCTGATGACTGAAGTTTCAGTGTAGACCACTGCACTGGAAAAGCATTCTTTAATGATGTGGCTTTAGAGGACTGTGTACTCTTTAGTACACACCATGCAGATTTCTGCTTCCCTGCTTTTTTTCATGTATTTCTCATCTCACTGTCCTGCCCTCACCTACAACCCAACGCCTCATGGGCATGGAGCTTTCCCAGACCACCTGGTCCACCCCGATCTTACCCACTCCAAGCATCTTTAAAGACAGTCCTTGATTTTCTGCCACAATGAGTCACTCTCCAACTGCTTCACGCGTAGCAGGCACCTAAAAGCTCCTCCCTTTAGGCCACAGATCATGTCTTCTACCTCTTAGGTTTTCCACAGTATCTAGTCCAGAGCCAGGCAAACACACCAAAAAATAATTTTAAAATTATGGGTGGCTGAAACGGGACAAATAAAAAAGATCCCAGGTTGCATATCAGCCACTTGAGGATCTCAATGGATTCTAGACTTCAGGCTCTACAGTGGGGTGGTATTTTCTGAAAAATGGAGAGTTAACATGCACTCTCAAGAGGCGAGACTCACAGGGTAAGCCAATTCTGGGATCACAATCTTACTCAGTTTATAATATTGTCATGGAAGCCAAGGAGAGAAGGGGTACCACATGACAAATCAGAGATGGCCTGTGTTTATGCTGCAAAGCTCATCTCACGGTCCACCTCTTTACAGCCAGGTAATGATGCAAGTTTCCTCCCTGTTCAGCTACTAGGAGGAAGACTGGTCACTCCATATAGGACATAAGGCAGAAGGCCAAAGCTTCTGGGTGAGGCAGTTCTATAAATTACCAAGACACTGGGGCCTCACCCAAACCATCAGGAAACCACAAACCTGACCTTATTATTTATCTCGTGAGATGAGGCAGATACAAGCATGGGGAACCCAAATGAAGCAGTCTCATGGAAAACTTACTGCAAGAGTAATAAAGACCCGACAGCTCAATTGTCACATTTGAATAGCAAACCTGTCCCCAGAGTAACACTATAGGAAAGCACACTCATAGCTTGTGCGATGTGGCAACGGCCAGCTGTAGAAACAATTAAAGACCACTGGAGTTTCTCTCCCCACTTCTCCACATCTATCTGAAAGATGACTCTCAAATCAGCATCTAAGAGACTTCCCAATGAATGGAGGGCCAACAGATCTGATTCAGGAAATGTCTGGCTTGCCAGACTCAACACGGGAAAATAAAGGAGCCCTTGCCATCTCCCATCCCAGAAGTAGAACAACAATGATAAACCTAAAAACATGAAATGTGATGCTCTCCTCCTCTGATCTAAGGAAATCCCGTCAAGGCTGAGTTGCTAGAGAGCTTTCTCTAGGAAGCACACAACCTACCAGAGTTTTGTTTCTCACCTTCCTCCACATTCCCTCTCACTAGCTGACAGACACATGGAAGTAACACTGACTCCTAAAGTCGTGGGTACGTTTGCCATTAAGAATCTAGAAGCATGCTCCATTAACCTCAGCAGCCTGTGATTGGCTCCGGACTGCTCAGGTGATGAGAAATACTATTGCCCTGACAGCTGGCAGAAGCAATAGCAATGATGTCACCATGACCACAGTGAAATGTACAGTTATCACCAGGGGCAACGGGCTAAGGGTGGAGAAAGAACCGAGTTAATTTCAAGTCACAGAACTTAAGGAATTAAGCAAAACAAAACTAATACAGCTTCCGTGAGAGGTGATTTCGAAAGCAGCTTCCTACACATTAAAAGGAAAGGATGTGGGGAGTCACTACTTGCCCCAGCAAATGCCATTTGCCAGTTTTTGTCCGATAATCTTCTCTTCGAGACCACCCACTCTCCTTTCTCTCCTGCTCCTACTGAAGCTACCCACAGCAATGAGAAGCAGATTCTCCTTCCCCCAGACACTTCCAATCCTGTTTTGCACTCCCTCTGGCTCCTCCTGCCTTCTTCAGTGTCCACGGTGGAGGCTCTAACTCTGCCTTTGGCACCAGCTTAGCGACTCCTCTCCTCTCCTCTCCTCCCCTCTCCTCCCTGCCCCTTCTCTGGACCTGCTCACTCTTTGCACCACTTCCAATCCAATGGGCACAAACCCCAGCTGCCTTCAAGGTAAGTTTTCCATACCAAGAAATGCAAATATCAAAAACAAAAGTTCTGAAAAAGAAACAGTGTTGAGACTTCTTCCAGTTTTCCAAGGAGTTCGTCCAGTTCCTGGACACTATGGGAGCGGGTGTGGGCGGTGGAGCCCCCACTCAAAGAATTATGGTTGTGTGCTTCTTCCAAGCCCAGGGCTGCGTAGGGGAACCAAAATCTTTACACAGAGAATCCCAACCCTTCCTGTTCCCTCTTGTTCTTCTCTCTTCTTTTCATGGTAGCTTCATTTGGTTCTTCAAAACTGGAGCTTGGCAACCAAATGCCTAGTTAAAAAAGGAAAAAAATTAGAAAATTAGAATATTTCAACACAGTAGACCAAAATGGAGTAAAAGAACAGCCTAGCTCCTGGCGGAAGAGAAGCACAGCTCAAAAGGAGAGTGGAGGCCGGGCGCAGTGGCTCACGCCTGTAATCCTAGCACTCTGGGAGGCCGAGGCGGGTGGATCGCTCAAGGTCAGGAGTTCGAGACCAGCCTGAGCAAGAGCGAGACCCCGTCTCTACTAAAAAATAGAAAGAAATGATCTGGACAACTAAAAATCTATATAGAAAAAATCAGCCGGGCATGGTGGCGCATGCCTGTAGTCCCAGCTACTTGGGAGGCTGAGACAGCAGGATTGCTTGAGCCCAGGAGTGTGAGGTTGCTGTGAGCTAGGCTGATGCCATGGCACTCACTCTAGTCCAAGCAACAGAGTGAGACCCTGTCTCAAAAAAAAAAAAGGAGAGTGGAGCCTGGATAGCCAGATGTTTCGAACACATATTGTAGCTGGCTGGAGACGCAGCAATGGCTTTTGGGGGGGTCTGAGCGGCTTGTGACCTGGATGCCAAAACAAGGTCCTGAAATAACTAATAAATACATCCTACCACATTGCCTAAATTCTCCCTTTCCCATATTCCTTAATCTCCCACCCACTTTCTCCCTGAGCCCCACCTGCTCCAGGGACTAGAAAGGGAACTGAGCCTCTGAGAAACCCCTTGTGAGCCTGGCTGGCAACAGTCACTTCTGTGGCTTCTGGCTACTGCAGAGGTTGACATAGAATCACAAAGGCCAGTGTGCTCCTGCCTTCTGACTTGAGACAGGTACTGGTCTAGCCACTACTCTGTACCCTGACTCCAAGCACCCTCGCACAAACCCCCCCAGGTAACAACACGCACAGACCAAGCAGGCCATTCAGATCTCCCTAATTAAAACCAGCCTGACCAACAAGAAGTCATAACAGCCAAATTTCATACCCTAAAGACCTTTCCCTTGGGAAGTGTTACTTCCCCTTTTCAAGGGGTCCTAGGGTCTAAATCAGCAGAAAATATAGCATCACACTTATTATTTGCCACAGGCAACAATCCTACTATCCTACTGTCACAGCAAAAAGGAATCCTGGGAGTTCAGTTCAAACCTTTGCCAATACACGACTGCCCCAACGCTCACGTCATGTGGCTATGCCCAGCCTCTACCTGATCATCCCACGCTCCTTCCCATCTGGGGCAGCAGGGTCTTTATACTTGCAGGTTGCCTTGCCCAGAACGCTCTGTTCCCAGATTGTCCCATGGCTGACTCGTTGATGTTCAGGTATCAGTTGAAATGTGACCCCCTCACAAGGCCTTTCCTGACCATCCAAACCTGAGTAGTACCCCACAACTAATCACTAAACTTCACCCAGTTTTTTTTGTTTTTTGTTTTTTTTTTTTTTTGAGACAGAGTCTCACTCTGTTGCTCGGACTAGAGTGCTGTGGTGTCAACCTAGCTCACAGCAACCTCAAACTCCTGGGCTCAAGCGATCCTCCTGCCTCAGTCTCCCGAGTAGCTGGGACTACAGGCATGCCCCACCATGCCCGGCTAATTTTTTCTATATAGATTTTTAGTTGTGCAAATAATTTCTATTTTTAGTACAGACAGGGTCTCGCTCTTGCTCAGGCTGGTCTTGAACTCCTGACCTTGAGCAATCCACCCACCTCAGCCTCCTAGAGTGCTAGGATTACAGGCATGAGCCACCACGCCCAGCCCTTCATCCAGTTTTATTTTCCTTATAACATGTACAGTCACCTGAAATCCGCTTATTCATTTATTTACACGTTTGCTGTCTGTCTTTCCTTACAAGCTCAGTGAGAACAGGGCCTTTGACTGTCCTGCTCAGCACTCTACTCCCAATTCACACTAGGTACTTAAATATACAGGTAACTACTGAATGAAAACTCTTGAGGAAAACCATCCCATTTTTGGACCTCTCTGTTTAAAACATTCTTCTAAAGCTGTACTGAAATCTAACCCCCTGTAACTTACGTTTATTTTGGTCCTTGTCCTCCCCATTGGAACCATACAGAATAAGCTTTATTACTCTTCCTTTGTCATAACCCATCTTCCTTACTGAAAACCCATCAAATACTTTAGCTATCCCACCCTAAAACTTCTCTGCTTCAGCTTGATCATATTTCTATTCCCTTCATTTATTCCCCATATGATGAAGTTTGGAGCCCTCCACCACCCTGAGACCTTTCTCTGAATGTGCTCCTGTTTATGTGGGCTCCTTCTGTGGGCACAGTGCCCCTAGAAGTGGTGCTCTAACTGAAGGTCCTAATTACTCCCCAGGGGTGCAGTTGGGCAGATGGACTGCCCTAGGTCCCCCTCTACATTCCCACCCTAATCTCAACCGCAAAGCCATCTCGCAGAGAAATCCACCTAGACATTACAGCACTTAGAGGTTTTGGAAATCACTTCCGAAGCATACAATTTAAATATAACTGAAGAAATGGTAAGAGATTGTACACCCAGTCCAGGATGCTTTAAGTTAAAACTCTGCAGCCTCCCAGAGTTACCATTTCTGAACCTCTCTTCTCCATTTCTTTTCCTCTTGTTAATCCTTATTAGCCCAGCTCACATGCTTTCCCCCAACAGCAAAGGATCAGGGGCTTCCAAAGAGCCAAGAGGAGACACACAGTTAGGTTCACCTTAGCCATGGCTGAAGAAAACCCATGGGACCTCAACACCAGTTGTCATTCTCTCATATTAGGAAGAGAGCAGAGAAGATGGGGAGATTAAGGGTTCCTTTCCACTCTAAGGCTCCCTTAGGTTTTTCCCTTTTGTTTTGTGTGGGGGATGGAACTGAGGAACAGAGAAAGTGAAAAGCAGAAGTATTCAGTGCTTAAAAACAACACCCCATACTAAGAGGAAAGCCAGGGGTCATTGGTAGTTGATCTTGCTCGTCCCCAATACCACCAAAGTCACGGCTCTCTGACAATTATGTTCCCTACTCACCTCAGCTTTGCAATGTTAACTTTAATGCAATTTAAAAGACCAATTAGAATTCATCTGCACAAACCAGTATTCCAAGATATTATATGGGAAAATAAATGAGTAGAGCTCAGTTAGTGTAGTAATGGGAGAATAGCCTCTTAGATAAATGAATTCCGTAGTTAATTCACTTACTCTCCTGAACAATGTACTTTGCAATGGCCCAATGGCCCAAATGGAACTCTAAATAGAAGAGTGAGCTGTTTTCCTCATCCCCATATTGCAAGCTGTGGGACACGGTGGAGCTCTCACCAAAGTACATGCCTATTACTATTACAGCATGCCTGCATTTCCTTTGATGAAGTTTTCTTCCCCTTTGGTTTCCTGCTTTACATATAATTTGCACAATGTCAGGGAGATTAGCCAAAGTATGAGAGAAGGCTGCACACTCACACACTTGTGTGCCCTCCTCCTTGTTTATGTTCAGTGATTACCTTGCATATTTCTTGGCAAATATTCTTTAAGCCTTCATGTTTGTCTGCTTTTCTCCCAAGTGGGGTATGTGCCCTTTAGGGACCCCATTATCAGATTTGGTAACTCTATGGACAGATGTCTGATCAGGGCTGTACATGTGGGGAGTCGGGGAATGGGGCACGGGGCTCAATGCAGGATGGCAGCTGCCCAGGAAGCAATGTGGCTGGACAGTGAGGCAGAGAGCACCTACCCTTGGTGGCGATCAGCAGGGGGCCCCTCGCTACGTGGAGGATTCCACCTCCTGCTTCTGTTTAGAAATGAGCTGCGCTTCCTTTAGAGACAGGTATACCTCTTCCTGAGGATCATAGTAGTAGAACTTTCGGATATAAGAGATCAGAGGTCTGTGGAAAACAAACGAGGGATATACGTACAAAGGGTTATTTATACAGAATATAAAAGAAATACCTCCTTTGTTCAACCCATCTTCATTCCCTATATGGTTAGACTATGCCAAAGACTCTGCCAACCTAACAAAATTCCTATTTTCTCACTTACTATAGTTCTGTCTCCTGCAATATTACCACTTCCACTGTACTCTTCATACAGATAGCAGAAGGGAGGCCGATAGACACACTTTCTCCTCCCTTCTGGCTGCCATATGACAGTTACAGAGTTAGGAGCTAAGACACAGGAGAAGTGAAAGGATAATACCTGTGAATATTTCATGCCAGGCTCTGCCTAAGCAGCTTACACACCTCACTGACATTTGTAACTCGCCCCCTCCCTTCCTATCCCAACCCTAATGACCCCACTGTACTTAGGCAGTGGGAGATCTGGGATGTGATCTATCCTGACGAGCTGTCGGATCCGGAATCTGCAAAGGTGCTGGAGGGATTTGACATTGCTGAAACGGGACACTGGATAGAGCAGCTGGACAGGAGTTGGTGGCAGTCCTTCAAGAATGAAAACAAAGGGAAATATTCAGAGGGAGTAACGAGTTATTATACAACTTCCTTTTTTTTTTTTTTTTTTTTGATAGAGTCTCACTATTGCCTGGGCGAGTGCAGTGGCATCAGCCTAGCTCACAGCAACCTCAAACTCCTGGGCTCAAGTGATCCTCCTGCCTCAGCGTCCCGAGTAGCTGGGACTACAGGCATGTGCCACCACACCCAGCTTTTCTATTTATAGTAGAGACGGGGTCTCACTCTTGCTCAGGCTGGTCTCTAATTCCTGAGCTCAAGTGATCCTCCGGCCTTGGCCTCCCAGAGTGCTAGGATCATGAGCCACCACGCCCGGCCATACATATTCCCTTTATAAAGAGAATCCAGGGAGGGGAAATGGGCCTTCTTTGTCGTTCATATATATAATTCTATGCAAAAGCCCTTCCACAAAGGGCTGTTGATTTCCATCTGCAGAAGCACCACTATTATATTTCACGCAAGGGAATTTATTCTCCTCTGCCAAGGGCCTCCCTGACCTCTGAGAGTCTTGCTCCTCAGACCTATGAATAATGCCAAGCTAGAGACTCTGCCTGGAGCCCAGTGGCCAGTCCCAGACCTGAGGCTCTCAGGGCAGAGCAAGAATCAAAAGCATCCCTGCTAGGAATAGAAGACACTGTTCAGCACATCTAGCAGTCTCCTGAAGGTGAGGACTCAGAAAGGCTGTTCAGAGGGGTCCCCACCAAATTCCAACTGGTTAAGTAGAGAGGCTGGTAACAAAAAGGCAACAGCTGGGATCAAAGTTGACAAGCCTATTATTCCTGCCATTTACTTCAAGTTAGGACAATCAGGTTTAGCCACATCTTATACCTACTTCCCTACTTCCCATCACCCCTCTTTCCTGCTTCTGAAATTTTAGGCTGGGTCATAGAATAGAAAAAAAGAGGATGATATTTTTAGAAGAACAACAGCTGCAGTGCTTGGACAAACTGAGAGTAGTCCTACTCAGTGCAAAAGGGCCTGCTGACCGAGGCCAGCCTCAACGGGAGCACCACACCCCCGCGCGTCGACAGGCTGTGTGTGGGGCACCCCAACACCCACAGGGCTGATGCCACAGCATGGAGACATCCAGAATGGCAGGAACACTGGAAATGATTCAAGGGAACTAAGAATATCCTGGTTTCAACCAACAAAGGGGCTATGGAAGGTAAACAAGCAAACTGCTTTGACAAAGAATCTGAGTTGCAAAATCTTTGAAAGAATTCTTTTCTCGGCCATTGTCATATCAAATGAAATTCTGTAGACACAACTCGTTGGAAAGTAAAATATCTACTATTATTGGGGTTTAATTTCAAACAGTTTTTAAATTTTGTTTGAAGCCATGAGAGAAGAAAAAAGTTAAAGCCTGTAGATTGCCTCCCAAAGCCTTTTTTTCATGGTTGCTGACAACCGACTTTCTAAAAAAGAAAAAAAAAAAATCAAAGTACATACTTTACTGTTACTAAACAAGTAAGCTTATTTTAAAAACATTTAACTTATTTAGTCTTCAAAACTATACATTGAGACAGATACCACCATTCTCATTTCACACATGAAGAAACTGAGACCCATTAAGCTTAGAGAACTTGCCCGTGGCACAGAATCAATCAAGCCAGCCTGCCTTGAACACCTCCTCTAAGGAAGAGCTACGGGTGGCCCTGCCACAGCCCAGGGAACCTCTCATGGGGTTTCTCCAGGAGTGTCTCCAGAGTGCCTGCCCCTCTAACTGTCTGATAAGGGAGCTGTTCAGGACAGTCACAGTCCCCTGATTCATGACTATCCTCTCCTAGCTCCCACCCTCCCACTCCCCGCTCTTCAAGCCTAAGGCTTATAATTTTAAGCTCTACGGCTCTTCTCTGTTCATGCGGTTGGTCCTCTCCATTAAAAGGAAAAAAAGAAAAAGAGAATTCAAACACAAATTTCTCACTTGAATATATTTAACTCAAGTAGTTTATTATATCTCAATAATAAACCTGTTATATAAAAGAAAGGAGGGAGGGAGGGAAAAAAAAATACTCCAACATAAAGCAGCTTCCACTGGCCAAAGATGGGACAATATGAGCTTCAATAATCCTAACTGTAATGGATTGAAACTCATCAAATATGTTTAATTCCATGAGTCCATAACATTTTTTTAAATGGTCACCTTCAAAGAATGATATAGAACAAATTCATTGTCTTGAAAATTCGTAAATAAAGCAAAATAATCTAGCACTTATCCTGTTTCTCCTATATGAATCTGGTAAACAAATAATAGATAAGGGGAAATGTCTCTGTAAAATTATTCCACCTAATAAATAAAAAGGAAGTGATAAAATTAGAGTATCACCATTTTGTAACCTCCAATGAATGGCTGCTAAGATCACAAAAAAAGACACACCAGGTATCACATGTTTCCTACTGGCATGTCAAACACTACCTTGATCCTTGCTAAAAGGATCAAGCCTGAGTTTGGGTCAGACTCCTGCTAATTTGTAAGAAATATAGAGGACAGAACAACATGTTAAACTACACCAAGAGTATACAATCAGTAAAATCCACGGAAATTTTCCAGGTCAAATGGCCCAATTTTTCAATAAATATATTTTAAGGAAATAAAGAGAGAAACCTACAGACTAAGAGATTTAAAAAACATCAAATTCTTTAAAAACGAGAAGACTAGGCTGGGCATGGTGGCTCATGCCTGTAATCCTAGTACTCTGGGAGGCCGAGGCGGGAGGATTGCTTGAAGTCAGGAGTTTGAGACCAGCCTGAGCAAGAGACCCCATCTCTACTAAAAATAGAAAAATTAGCTGGGTGTGGCTGTGACAGTTAGATAATGACTTTTTTAAAAGTATATTCATGATATCATTTCACAGCTAAAAAAAACTAAAAGTGATTACTTCGTATCAAATACCTGGTCAGCATTCACGTTTCCAATTATCTCATTAATGTCATGGTTTTTGTTTCAGCTTTTTTTTTTCCCACTTTTTTTTTTCCTGGACTACTCACAGTCTGATGTTTTAGCTTTTTATTTTGAGATAATTTTAGACTTAGAGTTGCAAAAATAGTACAGAGTTCTTGTATACCCTTCACCCAGCTTCCCCTGATGTTAACATCTGATACGACCATGGTGAAACTATTAAAACCAAGAAATTAACACTGGTACAATACTATTAACTAAACTACAGACCTTATTTGGATTTCACCAGTTTTTCTACTAATGCCTTTTTTTAAATTCCAGGATCTATTTCAAGGTCCCACATTTCTTTAGTTGTCATGTCTCCTTAGTCTCTTCCAATCTGTGACAATGCCTCAGTCCTTCCTAGTTTTTCATGATATTGACAGTTTCGAAGAGTACTGGTCAGTTATTTAATGTTCCTCCATTTGGGTTTGTGTAATTTTTTTCTTGTGATTAGATAGATCAAGCTATGCATTATTGGGGGAATACCAAAGAAGTGATGAATCATTCTCACTGCATTGTATCAGGATGTGCCTGTCAATGGCTTAACGAGAAAAACAGTTTTATGAATTGAGATTCAGTTAACATCTTCATATGGCAATTGATTGTGTCTTAAATTTCTTTTTTAATTTATAGTTTCCCTCCTCCAACTCTTTCTTTTTTCCTTTTTTTTCCTTGCAATTTATATATTCAAAATATTGCTCTGCCTGGAATTTGCCTATTGCATCCCCATGGTATAGTTTAATGTGTTCCTCTGTCCTCTGAATTTCCTATAAATGGTAATTGGATCCAAAGGTTTGACCCAATTTAGATGTTTTTTGTGTGTGGAAGGTGACAGCACTACTTCATAGGTGATGTTGTATCAGTGTTTCTTTTCTTTTTAAACAGAAAACCACACAAATCTAATGCATGTTTTAATATTGTTATAAGGCAAAAGAACCAGAACTTTGCCAGCTACTCCAGAAATCCTTCCATGTGCCCCACCCCAGTCTCCACACCACCTTTACAGTAATTACTTCCTTTTGTTTTTCTATTAATACTTTCATCACCCAAATATGCATCCCTGAATACTATAGTCTTTTTTTTTTTTTTTTTTTTGAGACAGAGTCTCACTCTGTCACCCGGGATAGAGTACCGCGGCGTCAGCCTAGCTCACAGCAACCTCAAACTCCTGGGCTCAAGCAATCCTCCTGCCTCAGCCTTCCAATTAGCTGGGACTATAGGCACGCAGTGTTAATTTCTTGGTTTTAATAATTTCACCATGGGCCGGGGGCGGTGGCTCACACCTGTAATCCTAGTACTCTGGGAGGCCAAGGCGGGCGGATCGTTCAAGGTCAGGAGTTCGAGACCAGCCTGAGCAAAAGCAAGACCTTGTCTCTACTAAAAAACAGAAAGAAATGATCTGGACAACTAAAAATATATATAAAAATTAACCGGGCAGGTGGCACATGCCTGTAGTCCCAGCTACTCGGGAGGCTGAGGCAGGAGGATCGCTTGAGCCCAGGAGTTTGAGGTTGCTGTGAGCTAGGCTGACGCCATGGCACTCTAGCCCAAGCAACAGAGCGAGACTCTGTCTCAAAAAAAAATAATAATAATAATAATTTCACCATGGTCATATCAGATGTTAACATTAGGGGAAGCTGGGTGAAGGGTATATAAGAACTCTGTACTATTTTTGCAACTCTGAGTCTAAAATTATCTCAAAATAAAAAGCTAAAACATCAGACTGTGAGTAGTCTAGAAAAAAAAAGGTGGGGAAAAAAAAAAGCTAAAACAGAAACTATGACATTTATGAGATAATTGGAAATGTGAATGCTAACCAGGTATTTGATATTAAGTAATCACTTTTAGTTTTTTTTTAGCTCTGAAATGATATCATGAATATACTTTTTTTTTTTTTTTTTTGAGACAGAGTCTCACTCTGTTGCCTGGGCTAGAGTGCCATGGCGTCAGCCTAGCTCACAGCAACCTCAAACTCCTGGGCTCAAGCGATCCTACTGCCTCAGCCTCCCGAGTAGCTGGGACTATAGGCACG